TTCATCTCCCCTTGTACGTCTCCTGAATAGTTTTATACAATTTTTATGGGCGTGGCATTCGATTTTACCCTATTTTCAAAAAAAATGAATATTCTCTTTCCATATATATTCAGAAATTGTATTCTTCGACAACTGGGGCGTCATTATTTAAAACAACAATTTTAATCATGTTTTTATTTATTTATTTTATTGGGCTAAGCGGCAACTTATAGCTTAGCTTACGAATTTTATACATGTTTATCCTAACACCACTTTTCCTTGCTCTCCTTATGACGATTAATTTACAGATGTAACATTTCTGAGCTAAACAAACTTGTTCGACATTCAATAGGTGATTTTCGAATGTTGAATGAAAACACATGTCATTTATTAAATTCGCATGAAGCTTTCTTCTGACTTTTCGACTAAATCTGATTTTTCTTACAATATTTTCGGCGAATTACGAAGACAGCGAGTGTTTGTATTTATCATATAATATTTTTCTGCACATTTTTTTCTGAAAAATTCATTAATGTTGTATTTGTAAATAGAAATAGAATGGAGTACTTGTAGAACAATACGAATCGCATTTTTAATGAGAAAATCTCAAATAACAAATGAGGTATGAGGAAATATATTATCGTGATGCAAAAACCAACAGTTGTCTTCCCATAATTCCAGCCTAGCCGCTTCTGGTGAATAGCCTGATTGACCGTTTGGCTTGCACGGAAATCAGAGCAGCTAACTTAGCTGCTCATTGCTCGTTTTTGAGTGCCATGATGCAAGGTGATGCTCTGCTGTTTAACATTAAACAAGCGCATCAGATCCTGCTAAGAAAATGACACCCAGTATTACAAGCTGCTTATCTTAGAATATTTTATTTATAGAATTGGCTTGCGTTTTGGCTGTGCGTAATGTATCACGTCAAGCTGCCATTGAAGCAGTGGAAAGAGCCTTCTCTAGATGTTATAATGATTTGGAGCCTATTGGGCGCCGCATTAGGCGTAATTCTCCTGATCAGCATAGAGCTTATCAAGAATTCAACAGGTCTTTGTAAAAAAGCCAACGATGCGAGATTTGTATACAAAAACCAACCATCTGAGAAAATACAAAATACATGCGACAGCTGTTCGTAAACAAAATATGAATTGGAATTTCTTCACAATTTTCTAAAGAAGAGCAAAAGCGACCAAGTCAAATGATGATGATCTGTAAAATATATTTACTTGATCATAAAGGAGAGCGAAGCTCCATTTACTTGATATATTCTCCAATTTTTTTTTAATAGCAATATTTGCTTGTTGGTTTTTCAACTTACATACATATGTATAAATCTCTAATTTTCACAAAATAATGAGATGTAAAGACCAAAAAAACCTTTAACTGAAATTTGTTAAATAGCGCGAGTGTTCTGGTATAAGTATAGATATATCCTGTAACGAAATATTGCAATTTAAACATTTTCATTTATATATGGCGTTCACCATTTCGCTTCTGCAACGATATCAATATGTGTCAACAAAATATTAAATTAATAGTTTTCAGCATCATTTGTCGTGTATTCGGATGTACCGCAGAACGCTCGCTAGCAAAACAAATTTTCGCAGAGCAACAAAAAGAAGACCTGTACATACAAACTTAATCGTTGTTCGTTTGAATCCATATTTAAAAAATATATTAACTGGGAAAGTAGTCTTATTTTTATTTATTAATTAATGTTATTAATTAAAAAATGAAAAATGAATATTAAGGCCAAAAGTAATTTAATTATCTTGAGTATTAATTGTTCCTTCGGCTAGTGTTGGTGGGTCAGACAACGTTGCCGGCAAATCACCGAAATAGGCATCATTATCGATGCGGTAATTTATGATCATGCGCCAATGAGGATCCAAAAAGAGTGTGTCGGGGTTGCCGTATATCATAAGCAGACAACGAGGCCGAGAAATTGCGAGTTTGGTTGATCTTTCGTTTCGTATGAATCCTAATCCATGGTGCATATCGTCACGTATATGCTCTTTGCTTGATCTCACTCCTAAGATTAATATTATATCGTGTTCCTAAAAACAACCAAGCAACATTAGTATTAATTGCAAAATTAGTGTAATTTTAAGAAAGTTATACCTGTCTTTGGAATTCCTCCACAATGCCAATTTTAGGTTGCTATTGCTATATTATATATATATATATATTGGAGTATTGGAGTGTTACAATTCTATCATTAATGCAATTTGTTGTTGGCTTCAATCAGTAGCTATCGTAGAATTCTACCTAAAAGTTAATCAAAAAATAGATTTCAAAAGCCAGTCCTACTATTCTAAACAAACCAAAAACAAAGAAAAACTCCGCGCAAAAGACGCGAATTAGTTAGTATAGCGACCGGGAGTTTGCTACCAATAGTTAACACTACATGGTGAAAAATAATGCGGAAGCATGACATGCCCTTTAGTATGAATGCTCGGTAAAAAAACTGTTGGAGCTTTTCTTTCGCAAACAGTTACGCTGCGTTACTCTAAACTAGTCAGCTGCAGTCCGTAATGTAATATATATGCTATCACCTTTTACGGATGTCATTTAATCTCCTAGAGAAGTTAGAGAAGTCAACAGCTGAGGGACATTAGTCTGTAACTTTCCAGCACAAGTTCATGTAACACACGCTGACTTTTCGGAAGCGTTAGACATTTCAAGCAAAAAAATTCCTTTCATCCCGATCCTAGTCGCTTCATAGATCTATTAAACTAACAAAAATAAGTTGTCTTCCTGAGGGTAATCCTTTAAAGACATACTAATACTAATAATTAATTTACCTAAAGAAGTCGCAGCTCAGCAACTGTACGCAAAGGAAGAAAAATGGTTTCTTAGAAAATTCGGTAACGAGTTGTTAAGGGTGATATTTATGGCAATAATTAGAAAAAATTTTAAAAACATGTACAGTTAATTTTAAATATCCTTCGTAAAGTTATAGCCTGAATAAGAGATTTTGAAAGTTATAGGTGCCAGAGACAAAAAAATAAAAAATATATGATTCTTAAAGAAATTTAGTTTCGCATTCTTCCTAACTAAGAATTAAATTGATGCACATAGGAAACTTTAGACGAGATTGTTCACAAGGGTCTTGTCCGTCCATCCCTCCTTATCGGATTTCCTTATAAAATGTTATTATTACGAATATTTACTCGCCGTAATAACGTATTTTAGAAAACATTTTTGCCAAACCGTTTCATTACAACCTATAGTTAATGCGTACGAATATGAGTATACGAGTATATCGCTAAAAAGGTCGACACAGTTGGCTGATGAAGAGTGCTTTCTTGAGCATGATGCAAATTGAAATTTATTCGCATTTAACAGAACCATATTGGAGGACGTAATCCATTACGAAGGCACTTTCTTCAAAAAAGAAAGTCATTTTGCTAAACGATAATATTTGAGATAATTTTCTAAACCTTACGTTTTTAAACAGGGTCAATAAACGTTTTACATTCCACTGAAAACATTTTGAAAGTAAAGGGAAATTTTTCCATTTCCTATTATTATTATTATTATTATTATTAATTTCGCCAGAGAAATAAATTCTAAGACTAAACTCTTAAAAGCACTAGCATCTAAGGCTATCGGCCTCCATTCCTAAAATCGATGCTGTACTTAAACACGCAATATATTAATTGATTGCGTGTATAAGCCATACCAACCGCTGCATACCATTCTCTACTCAACAAACAAATTTCAACTATCGACTATCAGAAGCAAAAGCATTTAGCAAAAGTCGATCAGAGAGAGGTTACTGAACGGTTTAGATTTCTACTTCAATGAAATTGTCTAACACGTCCTACGATGCACAGAATTATAAGTAAATTTTTCTTTTTCTTTGATTGTCTATTGAATTTGATTTTCGAAGCGACTTTTGTATATAATGCATATGCAGGCGAGATATATATACAAATAGCGTATCTATAAAAAGGGGTGGGCCATAAGTTTTTTTCTTTTATTTTTTAATAATTAATATGACACTTCTTTATAACTTTCTATCCTACGAAATTTTAATTAGATTCGAGAAATTCATTGTGAACGAGCGATTTCTTAATAAAGAAAGTTGTGCAACTTTCCTTTAAAAGAGAGCTGATTTTAAAATTAAATCGTTATCCTATGAACAATGTTTGATGAAAATAAAAAAATTATTTTTGATAGCTAATACGCCTAGTTTCACTGATTAAGACTGTGTTCATATCTTATTTTATGTGCAGCAATAAAAATGTGGAATTATTTATCACCTCAAGACGCCGCCACTGCTAGTTTCTTAATAGCAAATGATATCGATGAATGTACGGTAACCTGGAATTTCTTGTTTACCAAAAGATAAAGTACACTTACTGACTTACCACATTGAAGGGAGCAGCGATATGAAAGAAGTTCCTTGTTGTAGTTTAATCAATTGAAAACACAAACATTGCAGAGTTTTTTCTTTGGTAGTACTTACACTATTAGCAAACTAGTGAAACGTTGAGTAATTGTAGGACATTAAGATTCGTTAAGGAAAAGCAATTACTTTCTAACGAGGACAAACACTACAATCACACAAAATTTATTAGCTCATCACAAGATTGCACCTTAAAGGAAAACTAAGTATATCCCAAAACCAAAACCAATTTATTTCTTGCAAGAAATTGAAAAAAAAAAAGTAAATAAAAGCCGCACCCAAGTGACCATTTATTATTGGTTCAATATATTGGCATCTGGTAAAACGTTCAAACAATGTTGCATGCAATTGCTTTCGATTTACCTGCTGTGTGGTTACATGTTGGAGTACGTAGTATAAGCATAAATGTTTATTGAAAAAATTAAATTATTTACAGACTTAGAAGTAGAGATTTCTTCAATTCACAAGTCTTCAGTTGACTGGGCGCAAGATCGACTTGTTCGACTTCGAAAAAATTCTACGATTATCGCCTTTTTTTTAAAAAAGATAGACTAGATTGCTAGTCATTTGCCTATGATAACACAGGGTTACCTCATTCGCAAAATCGTCGCCTGACTTGCTTAATATTGCGGGAAACTTCTTTTTCGATAGAAGTTTTGACGCAATTTTTAAGCAGATTTCTTCCGTTTAATACGTAAAAACACTATAGTGGTGCACCACGGCCCATCATTAATTATCCTCCACCAACTTCCTTGTTACAGTTGTTTACATAATGAGTTTTCCAAATTAAGTATTACATGGGACACGCCTCTCTACCAAAATTCATCAAAATATCTCAAAGGTTGTGACCTGTACCTGTGTTGAGCACAACTACAGAAGACTCACGTCTTGTTATATAGGAAATTTGGACCATGTAGGTGTATTTTTTGAATCCGGCCACTGAACTGAGGCCACCCATAAAATTTTTCGTATTTTATCAAGAAAATAAATGAAAAATTGTACTACGTAAAGTGGAGTGGCATATATATAGTGAGTTTGGCTTCATATAGGATTAACGATTCTACGCGGATCCGATATTGCCACTGATATATGAATGGCAGACTCAATGATGTTAGTAATTAGATGGACACATTGCATTGTATAAACACTAACAGGACAATTTCTTCTCCAATATTTTTGAGAAACGTACAACAATTGTACTGAAATGGTCCGCAATGATTCAATAATAAGTCGTCAGAAGCTCTTGAGCCACTTATACAAAATACTAGTCATGAAATTAATGGAATAGTGGAGGGAGAAGTTTTATACGGACACTTTTGTTTTATGAACTAAGATGGACATATGTGGGTGACTTCCTCTACGATACACACTTGTCAGGATCGTGTAAACTTTGTGTGCAAATATACGGTTTTTATCTTCCATATATACATATATACGAATTTTTTTTCCGCCCAATTTATTCCACTTCATTTGCTTTCCTCTCGTAGCCCCTACTTGTCTCCTCTCTCCTTTGTTTTCTTTGCCTTTCATTTCCAACCTTCTCCGTTCACTTTTCCCATTATTCGTTGTCTCCTTTGTCCTTCTTATTATTTTTAGCCATTTTCGTGAGTTTTTTTTTTTCCTATTTAATGTAAGTTTTGCTTTGTTGAGATAAA